TCCTATTCCTATTCTGTTCCTATTCCTATTCTGTTCCTATTCTATTCCTATTCCTATTCTATTCCTATTCTGTTCCTATTCCTATTCTGTTCCTATTCTATTCCTATTCCTATTCTGTTCCTATTCCTATTCTGTTCCTATTCCTATTCTGTTCCTATTCCTATTCTATTCCTATTCCTATTCTATTCCTATTCTGTTCCTATTCCTATTGTGTTCCTATTCTATTCCTGTTCCTATTCCTATTCTATTCCTATTCCCATTCCTATTCCTGTTCTATTCCTATTCCTATTCTACATTTCAGAAAATACATTACTTGGCATTGAAGGGGGGGAGGGGCTCTACTTATTCTTCGGCCAAGCATTTATCAAGCCCAGCATTCTCCCTCCCTATGTCCACCTAAAATGATGCCGTTGGCATTTATAGATACACCACATGGCCTTTTGCTGGCATTCCAATTTAAGAAGGCCTGTTTCGCACTGCGAGTTATTGTTCCCTTCTATAAACATAAGTTCAGAGAGGCCTCATGCTTTTTCAGTGAAGTCACGATGTAGCATGACACCCAGTCAACTTTTCTGCCTTAGTGTGGCTCCAAATGGACCATGTGCGGCTATTTTTAAGAGTGACCGGTGGCTGGCTAGAGAGAAGCGGCAAAGAATTACCCCCAGCAGAACACCATCATAGAACCAAAAACCCTAACATAGCAACACTGCAAAAAAAATTGTCTCTATTGAAGTGCCACTGAGGTCAGATTGTTGTCTTGGACTTCATCTAAGCCAACGTTTCTCAACCTTGACAAATTTAAATGTCTGAATTTCAATGGTTAGAATTCCCCAGGCAGCAAGCTGGCTGGAGAATTCTGGGATTTGAAGTCCACACATCTTAAAAGTTGCTAAGGTTGAGAGAGACCAGTTTGAACACAAGCCTTCAATCAGCTACAAAGCTTTACTGGAAGACCTTGGATTTGGTGCTGTCTGGGCTTAACCTGAGGGACGTGATGGCTTATATTAGGCACCCATGTAAACAGGGCTTATATTAGGCACCCATGTAAAAATCTAGCTAGGGCTTAATTTCAGGATAGGTCTTGTTTGATGTGCTGTTTTCAAACACTGCGCATGCTCACCGAACCGGTTATTATACCGGTTGAATCCCACCCCTGACTTTGTGTAATTTAATTTTTCAATTAATTTAATTTAATTTTTAAAATTCTAATCTGGGATTTCCTGCTTTTTCCAGGTAAGTCCAGATCTAGCAAATCCACTAGTAACTACGTGTCCATGGAAGTTCTCAGTCATCCAGGTCATGGTTGTCCCAAAGGTGCTTTTTCAAAAGGCAACTGGAGTTGCTTTGTTTTTCTCGGAAGACGTTTCGCTTCTCATCCAAGAAGCTTCCACAGTACTGAAGAAGCTTCTTGGATGAGAAGCAAAACATCTTCAAGGGAAAACAAAGTCCAGTTGCCTTTTGAAAAAGCACTTTTGGGACACCTCTATGGTGCTAGTGAAAAACAAAATACAGAGATCGAAAGGTTTGCTGATGGTCATCCACACAAGCTTTCACTCACCTGCACCATCGGGTGTAATCGTTCCAAGCTTCACTGCTAAGGGATAACCCATCTCCTTGAAATGTTCGAGGGCATGTCCGTTTCCCCCGCTGCCATCAAAGAACCATTTGCCACAAAGTATGGATCCGTCAGTGAGGTTTAGCCAAAGGTTCTCCCGTAAGTCACACTTGGAGCACTTCCAGCCACTGAAAAACAAACTGCCAGAGTCAAGCAACCACCATGAGGCTGCCTCTGGCGCTAGAGCAGGGGTCCTCAAACTTGGCATCTTTAAGACCTGTGGACTTTAACTCCCAGAATTCCTCAGCCAGCTATGCTGACTGAAGAATTCTGGGAGTTGAAGTCCACAAGGTCTTAAAGTTGCCACGTTTGGAGGCCTCTGCTTTAGGGCTACCAGGGATTGGATTAGCAAAAGATCGTCTCGTTTTTCTATGATTTTAAGGAATCCATTCCACCAATCTTTCAAAACTGTAGTTCTCCAACATAAGTTACTTATATATGTTACAAGATATGAATTGAGGACTACCTGTAATGAATTTATTTAGGATTACTCCTTTTTATACTAAACACAATTTGTCTACTTAAGGAAAGAGAAATATATTTTGCACCTCAGCCATCATGGATCAGAGTCCCAAAGTATAGAAACTAAATCAGAATCAGAGTTATCACCCAGTGGTGAGGTTCAAAAAGTTTACTACTGGTTTTGTGGGCATGGCTTGGTGGGTGTGGCTTGGTGAGCATGGCTTAGTGGGTGTGGCAGAGGAAGGATACTGTAAAATCCCCATTTCCTCCTCACCCCAGTAACCTGCTTTCCAGCTCCGTTCTTTTGTGCAGGGCAACAAAAGAAGACCCAGTTGATCAGCTGGGACTCGGGAGGCAGAGAATAGATGGGGGCCAGTTAGAGGTGGTATTTACCAGCTCTCCAAACTACTCAAAATTTCCGCTATCGGCTCTCCAGAACTGGTCAGAACCTGCTAAATACCACCTCTGTTATCACCCCTCTCCCAATCCCACCATCAATTCAAAAAGTTCTGAACTGACAGCCGTCCATTCTCTATCTATGCCAGGAACCCCTTAGAATATCACCAGAACAGCTTCCTTTTCATTACTGCTAGACTATCCGTGTCCCGCTGGGTCGTTTCAGAGATATTTCTTTACTTGAAACATAAACATCTCTCCCTTTCCTTCCTTCCTTCCTTCCTTCCTTCCTTCCTTCCTTCCTTCCTTCCTTCCTTCCTTCCTTCCTTCCACCTTCCTTCCTTCCTTCCTTCCTTCCTTCCTTCCTTCCTTCCTTCCTTCCTTCCTTCAATAATCACCTTGGTGGAATCCTGACTCCATTGTCCATTTGCACCAGAGTGTTGGCATGTTTGGAAATTTGCAGCTCTTCTTCCCACGAGTCTGGGTCCTGCTTTCTGTAGGGAGATTTCGAGCTCAGGACTGCATCACAAGCTATTGTCACCTGGAGTGGAGGGAAGATTCAGCTGAACATCAAAGGAAGCAGAACGATCAATTGGTTTGTCCTGTCGTGACCTTTTTTTTTTTTGGCTGGATTGTAACCAAGAACACTAACAATAATAAAAAATTTCAGGTAGTCCTCTAGAGCAAGGGTCTCCAACTTTGCCAACTTTAAGACTGATGGATTTCAATTCCCAGAATTCTAGAAGTTGAAGTCCACCAGTCTTAAAGTTGCCACGGTTGGAGACCCTTGCTCTGGAGCACTCATTGTTATCTTCACATAATCCCAGTAATCCTTTCAATTGTTGTACAGTATAAATTACTCTAACTGCATTCAGAAACTGCAAATTAATAGTGGAATTGTGGTTGAGAAACATTGATTTGCTTAAAGTTAACTAGTGAATTCAAAAGAGAGGTATGAATTGACATCAGTGAGTCTGTCATTCACAATACACACAGTTAGCCAGTTAATTTAGAGCAGTGTTTCTCAACCCTTGGCAACTCGAAGATGTATGGACTTCAACTCCCAGAATTCCCCAGCCAGTGTGTTGGCTGAAGAATTCTGGGAGTTGAAGTCCATGCATCTTTGAGTTGCCAAGGGGTTGAGAAACACTCCTTTAAAGGGTGGAAAAGATGAAACACAATTTGCAAGGATTTCTGAACATCTGCCTAAATATGAGGACCAATGAAACGTCGCTACCTTTCTCTTTCTCTTTGAAATGACAGAAACCTGAGATGCGACGAACAGAAACTATGGGTGGTTTCATACAAAATTTGGTTGAGTTCATGAAAATAAATCCTTGCGCTCTCAAGTATGCTCTCTAGACATCTTAAACTGTAAGCATTTGCACAGAGTGTCTTGTTTACCTTTGAGGCTAACTAGGACATCTTAGAGCTAGCAACATTCCGGACTTGGTACCCAAGTTTCTATAGAAGCACCTTCTTTTGTGCAGATTAGACCATCCATCCAGTATGTCTTTCCCAGAAGAATCTTGCGTGAAGTAACAGAAATGGAGGCCAGGAGGTGCTATTTCTCAGTTTCTGCTCTATCATTGTAGTCCTTGACTTATGACCACAATTGAGCCCATAATTTCGGTTGCTAAGCAAGATAATTGTTAAGTGAGGTTTGCCCCATTTTACGACCTTTCATGCCACAGTTGTTAAGTGAATCAATTCAGTTGTTAAGTTAGTAACAACTGTCATAAATATGAATTTTGGTCACGTGAACATGAGGATGCTGCAACAGTCATAAGTATGTGGGGAGAAGTCATAAGTCATTTTTTTCAGTGCCATTGTAACTTTGAATGGTCACTAAACAAATTGTTCTAAGTTGAGGACTACCTGCACTTTTCAGGAAGTCCAATTAAGACTTGCTCCATCCTTTCTGATCTTCTGGAAACTACTAGAGAAAACTTTCCACGGAGCATTTGGTGGAATATGTTGTCCTCCCCATCTTTAATTTATTTTGCTTTAAACTACTTTGATTGATTCATTTGTCTTTTATCTATTTCTCATCATTGTTATTTATATGATTTATCCTGGTATTGTTGCCACTCTGATTAGTTATTGTTTTAATTGTAATTATATTCATTATGGACATTGCTGATAATCAGTTTTTCATCCATTCTGGTTTGTATTAATAAAATGGTATGCAGATAGAATAAATAGATGTAATTTAAAAAAAAGAAAGATTCTAGTATCTTGAAGTTGGCCATCTTTGCATGACATTATGCACCTTTGACAAGTGTAATAATTTGTGTTGTCAGTATCAAGTCTATACAAGTTTTCTTGTATGTGAATGAGGCAATTGACTTCCTTAAATTCACAAAACCAATGTCAATCCTTCCACCCCCCACTTTTTTTTGGCTATCTCATTCTTTCATTCACTCACCAGTGCTGGCAGTTCTTCTATATTGGGTAAAGGAATTTCGTAGTGGTCTGGAAATATGACAAGTTTAGCTTCATCCTCATATTCATAATCATCATTATTTAAATCAAGATTAGATTCGAGATCTGTCAACAGAGAGAAAAAGACAGAACATTATTGGAAAGAGAGAAAAAATACATTAACTAGATTAAGGCTGCTCAAGGAGATACGTATTTCGTCCTGTAAAGAATTGCTAATGACATGTGCTTACAGCTGAAATACTCATTTATGGGCACGGAGGTTAAGTCAGGAAACACACACCCGAAGACATCTGCAGCAAATATCACATGCCCGGATCCTTCTAAAACCATCTCATCCTAGCCTTACCTGTGTTTAGCTCTGGCCTAACAACATCCTGCTCAGAGATGGGATTCAAAAATTTTAACAACTGGTTCTGTGGGTGTGGCTAGTTGGGCATAGCTAGTTGGGCATGGCTAAGTGACCAGGTGGGCATGGCTTCTTTTTTTGCAGCCCCTCCATTTTTTTGCATCCTCGGCCTCAGGGAAGCTTCTTGGGGGTCATTTTTGCTCCCAGAAGGCTTCCCTGGGGCCCAGGAAGGCAAAAAATGGAGCGCGTGGGGCATGTAGCACCCATACCCCTTTTTGCTCCTGGGCCTTAGGGAAGCCTCCTGGGCGAAGCAGTAAGACAGCGAGGGGTATCCCGGCATAGTTGATCATCAGAACAGCTGATCATTGGGAGCGGGGGAAAAAGAAATACCTTAAAGAGTGACTGGGCAGGGGAGAATGCAGTTACCGATGTCAGGCATGTACACGATGTCACACATGCGCGATAAGGACTGAATGAGCGGGGAAGGGAAGGGAGGAGCGGGCGGAGAGAAGCGGGGCCAGCTAGGGACACGATTTGCCGATTCTCCGAACTGCGCAGAATCATAACAACCGGTTCTATAGAACCAGTCCGAACCGGTAGAATCCCACCCCTGATCCTGTTGCTCCTCATTGTTCCTCAACAACAATAAGGCCCATTTCACATGCAAGGCATATATCTATCTGAGATTATTGTCGTTGCCTGTTAATTTAGCTCTTTTTCTAGAAAAAAAAGAAAGTTCCACAGTAGTTTTTTGAGAACAGCTTCCTATTAGCAGAGACTGCTACTTCCAGTGTCTGTGGAGATGCTTAATCATCCACAGCCATGGTTGATCCAAAAATGCTTTTTCCAAGCAACTGCACTGTTGGGTATATGGATACACCAACTGGTTTGGGTGAATGAATATATAAAACCTTGGTTTAAGTGTTTGCAACTTTAAGCTCCAAACTGCAATGTCATCGCATAATTATGGGTGCGGCTGCAGGCTGCAATAAGAGGCAGTGAGAGAGACGTAACACTTCCTGGTTTCTGATCCTGGTCTCGAGTTCCTGGTGTTACTGGTCTCTGGTCTGTCTGCTGTCTGTCTGCCTACTGTTTACTCCTGTATGAGATGTCTACTGTGCAAGATACTTCTCTCTACTGAACACAAGGACTGTTTGCTTGGTGAGCTGTGGATTCATCATTGTCTTTGAGAGAAAGGTATCAGAAGAAGAATATTTACAAGCAGATAGATATACTGGATACTGACATATGGACTGAATGACTCTTCTTAATCTCTGTATGAATTAAATACCTATTTAAAACCATAAACAGTGTTTTTGTCTCAAGTGTGTGTATACTCTTGGGCCCAGCCTCTCTCTCATTTGGCTGCCTGGCTTGACTGCTGCTGTGCACTCAGCTCGGGGGTTTATCCCCAAACACTAACATGCACTTTCTTGTTTTGTTTTGTTTTTTAAATGTTTCGCTTCTCATCCAAGAAGCTTCTTGGATGAGAAGCGAAATGTTTTCAAAGGAAAAAAAAAAAGCCAAGGAAGTCCAGTTGCTGTTCGGAAAAATCACCTTTGCGTTCTCTCTGTAGTCTGAGGAAATCTTATCTCTATCCAGAAGATGAGGATATTTATTTATTTTTATTTTTTATTTATTTTATTTTTTTGTCAAACATGTACAGCAGATATAATGTTAGGAGTTATAATGCCTAGGCTTCTTTTCCTGTGGGACAGAGGATCAGTTCTGCTGTTCAGCCTGCACAAAAAAGCTAATACGGTGGAAAAGGAAGGACAAGGATGGGCGAATGTTTTGATGTCCACTATCATTCGGTAGCTAAAAGAAATACTGGCCAGGGAAGGAAGGGAAAGTGAGGTCAGCTGCTGGATATTTAAAAGCAGCGTGAAAATAATCATCATGGCAAGTGGAGGGGTGAGTATCTAAAATGACATTTATGTTGAAGAGAGCTCTCAGAGGTGCATGTACATTTTGTCCCATCTAGACCTCTGAAACCTGAAAGTCCTGCCTAGTCTGTTGAGTGATGGGAAAATGTGAGATAAAAGTCACCCATTAAAGCCATTCACCCATTAAAACAATTCCTTTCTTATTATTGGTTTCTATATATCAATACAATATTTTTGTTTATTTATCTGTTACCCATCTCATGATTCAGGCAACTTTGAGCAGCTTACATCATGGCAAAACAACAGTGAGCAATGGTAGATAGATAGATAGATAGATAGATAGATAGATAGATAGATAGATAGATAGATAGATAGACAGGAAGGAAGGAAGGAAGGAAGGAAGGAAGGAAGGAAGGAAGGAAGGAAGGAAGGAAGGAAGAAAGAAAGAAAGAAAGAAAGAAAGAAAGAAAGAAAGAAAGAAAG